GGAGGTGCAGGCTTCGTCCACCGCATGTCGAAGTGGCGCCAGGGGGTCGACCCCGCGCTTGGGGCCCGAGGGCACACCAATCTGGACATGACGTGCCCTCAGGCTGCGGTCGACCTGGAGGCGCTGAAGTGGATCGACCTCTGGACCTCCCACGGCGCCCAAAGCCGAGGCGAGCTCCCTCGTCCCTGGGAGTCGGCCACCTTCGAGTATAGCATGGTCGAGCCGACAGCGGACGACATCAGGTCCATATGCAGGGCCTTCCCCGAGCATACGGGGGTCGGGGTGGACAACTGGCACCCCAGGTGTTTCGCGAGCTTGGGGGACGAAGGGCTCGCGTTCCTGGCCGCCTTCGTCGCATGCGTGTCGCGCACGGCCAGGTGGCCCCCTCAGCTGCGCTACGTGATGTACTTCCTGCTGGCCGAGCAGGGCGGGGGGACCAGGCCCATCGGCCTCATCACCACCGCCGCGCGGCTGGTGGAGCGCGCGCACTCGCACCAGTTCCACGACCGGGAGCGGGAGATCCGGCGGGACTGCGACTTCGCGGCGCCAGGCGGTGGCTCAGAGGAAGCGATATGGCAGCAAATGTTGTTCGACGAAGGAGCCCAGCCTGGGGAGGTAACGGGCACGGCGGTCCTAGACCTGGAGAAGGCTTTCGAGCACGTCACGATGTACCTGCTGTGGGCTGAGGCGCCCAAGCATCAGTTTCGGTTGCAGCTTTTGAAGCTCCTAATCTCGATATACACGGCCACGCGTTTTGTTTCGTTCCGCGGCGTGGTCTCAGTTCACTCGGTGATCACATTTTCTGCAGTCATTGCTGGCAGCAGCGGGGGCACGAGATGCCTCAAGCTAGCCATCTTGTCAGTCGTGGACGGGTTGACGCAAGAGCACCCTGCCATGCCGCTGAAGCTATATGTCGACGATTTAAGCATTCAGGCGCGAGGTGCGGAGGCGGATGTCTCGGCCTCGCTGCATGCGGCCACGACCCAATATATAGAAGAAATGGAGGCCCGTGGGATCCCCGTCTCCAGGGTCCGACCAGACAAGCCAACGGGCAAGGTGTTTGTCATGACAGCGCAGCGCTCCCTGCGAGCTCGCATCAAAGGTTGGGCCCACTGCCTTGGACTGGAGGTCCAGGCCAGCAGCACGCAGCTCGGCGTTGACTCGGCGGGAGGAGGAGTTGTGTCGCTGCGCGCCAGAGCCGATGCCAGGATGGGGAGCGCTCGGCGACGTAGAAGTAAGTTATCGAGTCTTGGCAAGCAGGGCGCGCGCACCTTCCAGGTCGCGCGCATGGGATTCCTCCCTTCCGTGCTGTATGGGGCGGTCTGCCTCGGAGTGGGCCCGACTCGGCTCACACGAGCGAGGGCTCTCATGGCCTCAGCGCTGGGCGGGAACGCAATCGGTAAGGACCGACTGCTGCGCCTGTGGACGCTTCGCTGCGACCCCCTGGTCGACGCCTGCACGAAGCCACTGCTCAAATGGGCGGAGGCTATCTTTGCTGACAGCCATGAGGAACTCATGACTGCGGGGTGGCGCAGAGCTGTCGCGACGGCCGCTGCCGCCAAGCCTGGGAGCAACCCCTGGAGACAGATAAAAGGACCTGCCTCAGCCGTCTGGGCCACTCTCCGTCCCCTCTCGTGGGCGTGGCCTGCCCCTCGCGTTTTCTCCGGCCATCTCGGGCAGCAGTGGGAGTTGCGTAGGACGGCGCCGCAGTGTCTCAAGAAGCTGATCTGGCCCCGTCTCGAATTCGCGGTGATGACCTCCTGGGCGGCCTCCAGGGACCTCGGGATCACCCGTCCCTTCCTCGAGCCTATTCGGGCTCTCCTTCGACGAAAGGCTAACCGATCGCCGCAGAGGCGATCGGCTATCCTGGCCTACATGGGCCGCGATTTCTGGACCCAAGAAAAAGTCTGGCGCGCGGGTTTCGGGGGCGACAGGTCCTGTCAAGCCTGTGGCGCTGAAGTCGGATGTCAGCACCATCGTTTCTGTCGCTGCCCAGACCGACGAGGAGCGAGAGCCACCGTCGCCGAGGATGAGGGCCTCCAAGGGATCGTGCATCGTGCTGAAACCTCCTCCTCGGACTCCCTCCTCTTCTCCCGTGGGCTTCACGAGCACCCCTTGGAGGACCCACTGTCTGATTGGATTGCTGCCCTTGAGGAAGAAAATCCCGATTTTGTGAATCCCCCGCTGGTCTCAGGTTGGGCCTACTCCGACGGTTCGGCCAGAGGCCCACCAGGGCTCAAGAGTTTCGGTTGGGGCTACGTCTTCCTGGACCAGGACGGGGGGGCTGTCAAGGCCATGCGGGGTGCCCTCCCAGGGCTGCGTAGCCTCGTCTCCGTCCTCCGTGCCGAATTGTATGGATTGCTCAAGCTGCTGGGTAGCGCTCACCCGCCTTTGCGGGCAGGGGTCGACAATAGTTCAGTCATTCGAGGCCTCCGTAGGGGTCCCCGCTGGTGCTGCAGCCCTCGGAGGCCGCACGCCGACCTCTGGGGCAGGATCTGAGCCCTGCTCCAGGACAGTTTCAGCCAGGAAGGTGATTTCCAGGCCGTCAAGGTAAAAGCCCACGCTCGCGGGCCAAAGGATGACTCGCACGAAAGCCGTCTCGATTTTCAAGGGAATCAATTGGCGGACAGCGAGGCCCGCCTTAGGGCCGACATGCAGGAGGTCCCTCGTGGAAGGCCCAGACCTGGACCACCCGCTCGGCGGAGGCCCAGGCGGTGCTGACTCTGGTGGCGGGGGCGACGGGGCTGACGGCGGATTTCGGGGATTCCACGGGGAGGCTTGCCGCGGGCTCCAGCGGAGCCCGCCGACGGCGGCAAGGGCCGCCCGAGGGGGCCCGCGCTCGCGTCCTCCTCTGGAGGAGGGGGGCGCGGCGATGCGCGACGTGTGGCCGCAAGGCTTTCTCCGGCAAGACCAGGCGCGCGTTGGCGCGCAGGCCCTGCCAGGGCAAGATGAGGGTGGATCGCCGTTGGGGAGTCGGGCTGGGGCGGGGGGGCGGGGAAGGAGACGTCTCTCCCGCCCTTCGCGGCGCGGCTCTGGGACACGAGCTGCACCGCGTGGGCCAGTATACCTTCTGCGATCGGTGCGGTGTCTTCTCGAGCGAGAGGGGGTGCGAGCTCCTGGGTGCTTGCGGAGGGGCCACATCAAACCCCGCCGCAGGGCGCCGCTTCTCGCTCCTGCGCCGAGGCAGAAATCCTTACGCAGTGAAGGTCTCTCTGGAGGCGGTACCGCGCTCCCTGGTACAGGAGGAGTGCGCCGCCTTCTGGGAGTGCCTCATGGACTGAATCAGGATAGAGGCGGGAAGGCACCCCGTGGCGGAGTGCCCGCCTATCCTATTATCTTGTGGCGAGCTGGGGCGGGGACCGCCAGGCGTCGTTCTTGCAGCAAAAAAACCTCCTCCTCCTCCTCCTCCACCTCCGCCCCCTCCTCCTCCTCGTCCTCCTCCTGCTCTTCCACCTCCCTCTCCTCGTCCTCCTCCTCCTCCTCCTCCTCCTGCCCTTTCTCCTCCTCCTCCTCCTCCTCCTCCCCCCGCTCCTGCATCCTTCGCCGTTTGGTCCGATCTGGCTTTCCACCAGCCCCGCCGGCCCCTCAGGTGCTCTCATCGGCCCCTCAGGGGCCCGCGGCTGAACTTACAGTGAGCTTGATTTGGCAAATTCGGGTTTTCAGGTGGTCAGCGCATTGCTGCGACTGCCGTCGGCGTTATCGAAGCGCCGTCCGTGTTGCCGTCCTGGATGTTCTTTGCGTCGGTTGGTCTGGTCCGTCTTGGGTGGGGGGAGGGGCGCTCTGTCGTTGGTGTCGGCGCCGCCGACGTCGCTACTTGAGTCGAATGTGCCGCAGGGCCTTCCATATGAAGACAGATGTGCGCGGGAGGCTGAGCAGAGGACGAGTGAGGAAAGGAGGGGATGAGAAGGAGGATGCGGAACGATTGTCCAGCGGCCTTGATAAGTCATCTGCCAGATAGGGAGGGGTCTCAATAGCGCACCAGGCACTTCGAAACCTTATGGTGTCTTCAACGATGGTACACCGATGGTACTCTTGTGACGTCAGGGGTGGCCAACGTCAGATGCACCGTCGGTGTCCAGGGGGTCCCGCGGCTGCCTCGGGCAACCTCGGGGAGCCGTATATATTCTTTGAGTGGGTGGTCGTTGCATTGGAGTTTGCATCGCGCGGCTCAGGGCGGCGCTTAGGTCACTGCCAAGAGCTCCTGGACAATAGCTTCCTCGTGTCTTTAGCCATTATTGGAGGAGTCTTGGGCCATAACAGACGCGCCAGAGGGTCATTTGGTATTGTTCGCGGGGTGTTCGGTTATATGTGAGATTACGCTTGTGGTTTCTAGAGCAGGGCCAGGAGCCCCTCTCGGCCATCGTTGGGCGCCTCTTGGGCGGCGACAGGGCTTTCGACGCTGAGGCGCAATGAAACTGCACTTGGCCATCTCGATGGAGGCGGCCAGACATCCATAGGTACGACATGCTAGGACGGATATTTGATGCCACGCGTGCAATCAGTTTCTCCCTGTACCCCTTCTGAGAATCGAGGGGGGGGTGGGGGGGGGGCAATCTGCGCGTCCGCGTTTCCACTCCTCTGCATTGCCAGGGCGGCTCGGAGCAGCTCTTGCGTTGGGTTTGCTCGCACTCTTGGGGTGGGGTGTAGTTCGTTTCTCAGCGTTGCGTTGCATTCAGGTGGCAGTCCCACGTTTGCACTGCATGCGGTTGCTGAGGTATCACGTGTCCCCCAAGCATAAACACAGTCAGGGTTGATGTTCTTTGCGTACTAGCCGCTTTGGCTCGGAGGTGGATCTGCCTCGGGCAGCCGCCCAGTGTTTTTGTTTTCGCGGCCAGCAGGCACAGCCGCCCAGGAGTGCTTCGACTATCTGGTCGGCGCGGCAGCCAGTGATGGGCAAACGCGGCGCTGCGCAGCCGCGCGCGGCGAGAGCCCCCCGTCGCGGCGGCGGCGCCGGGGGCAGCGCCGCCGCTTCGGACAGCGCTTGGTGTCAGCGCTGCGAGGGGCCCGTGGACGTGGCGACGTCCAAGCGGGGTGGAATTTCCACAGCTCCGCGGCTAGCCTGCGACGGCTGCTGGCTGACCCACGAGCGGCACTTCAGCGGGGAGGCCGCCTGGCCCGACATCGTCGAACGTTGTCGCGAGGGGCCAGAGTTCAACGGCGACTTCGATGCTCGGGCCGCAGCAGGCTTGGATTTGTAGAGCCAGATCGCCGCAGCAGCGGAACGTGGGAGCGTGGAGGTGCACGCGTACTACGGCCAGGAGGTCAGCACCAGCATGGTGCAGCTCACGCCGAATCAGGGAGCACGCAGGTGGTCCCGCGCGGGGTGGTTGGCATGACCCCCGAGATTTGCGACCAGCACCAGTCTCGCGTGCCGTCATCTTGCCGGCCAGGGGTGAACACGACGGGAGTGATCGTTGCGGACCCAGGGCACCCGTGCGTCAGCCTTAAGAACTACACGAGGACGGAGTTGAAGATGGCAATCGTCAAGCTGACGCCCCAGCAGGCCGTGAAGACGGGTGCGGAGATGGAGTTTGTGAAGTGGGGGGTGGCGAGGTTGCGCCAGAGTCAGGCGGTGGCCGTCAGAGGGTTCAGCAAGGTCCCAACGATCACAGAGTTGCAGCAGTTGGCTCACGCGAAGGCTTCTACAACTGGGATGCTTCCCAAGGCGCCGCCGTCGAGGCCACATGGCCCTGTGCGCTCTGCCCCGCTTCCGATCGAGAACGGCCGCGTGGAGGACGAGTCGGAGACCGCCACCAGCTTTCTAGGCGCTAGCGGCCACCTGAGCGCTGCAGGTGCTGCTGTGCCAACGGGAGCCCCCGTGGCCAAGAAAGAGCCCAGGCAGTCTTGCCAGCGGCGTCAGCCAGGGGGGGGAGCTCCAGGCCAGCCTCCGCCAAGTCGGCGCCAGTCGCGACGAGCCCGTCGGTGGTGCCCAGGGGCAGCGTCGCCTCCGCCTTGGACCGCAGTGGACAGCCACCGCGGCGCTCCGAGTCAGGCGAGGTGATAGATCTCCCTCGGGACAGGTCAAGGCCTCCAGTAGGGGGCGTTGCCTGCTCCGTGGTCGAGTCTGGCTCTGGCGGCAGGGGCAGCAAGGCGGGGCCCCCTGGTTCTGCTGAGAAGGCGCGCTTCGGCGGCTACAAGAATGACTTGGTGATCCACGAGATCTTGGATGGGAGCCTCAAGGGGGGCCGATCCCACGGCCTGAAGAGGTTCAAACCGAAGTCGGCCAGCCTGGCCGTGATGGCAGCCAAGCTTCATACGAAGGTGGAGGCGGCGAGCGCCTTGTCCAGCAACCTCGACAGCGCGGGGTGGCCCCAGGTGATCCATCACTTGAAGGAGCTCACCACGCAGGATGTGGAGGCGCCGGCTTTATTTCGCAAGGCTGTCCTGAAGAAGTTCGCGTAGCAGGCCTTGAACGAGGACGAGATGATGATTGAGGCTTTGACGCCATGGGCGCCCTTCCCCGATGAGTTCGGCGCCACCGCGCCCCGAGCTGCGTCCATGAAGAACCTCAGCACGACTGAGATGATCGCGATGTTGCGTGAAATCATGTTGGACGTCGTCGCGCTGCCCCAGCTGCAGGACACCAAGAGGGTTCCACATCTGCAGCTCTGTGGCAAGCTGCTCGCGGAGGTGTTCCGCATCGCGAGCGACTGCCCTGAGCATCTGAGGAGCTTCATCGAGCACGTCGTCGCGCTTGGCATGCTGCTGCACCACTTGCCGAACAATGATCCCATGAGCTTCTCAGAGCGTGGGCCTTTCATGCCGAAGATGATCGCGCTGCTGACTGGCGCGTGCGAAGGTCCCGAGCGGCACCCCTTGTCTGAAGTGATGGACAATTCCGAGCCGTGGTCACAATACAAGGCGAGTTTCAGGCGCGCGGCCTCCGCCGACATCCAGACTGCTTCCAAGATGAAGCAGATCGTCGACGACCTCGAGCAGGTAAGGTGCAACATGGACGGCGTAGTGTTCATGCGCACGGTTGTCGGGGAGACCGAAGCTTGGAGAAAGACATGCCGCGGAGCATCGAAGTCGACACACGTCGCAGAGAGCACCTTGTTCAACAGGGTGGGGTATGTCGCCAAGGAAATCCTGAAGCAGAGCGCGGACACAGTTGACAAGAAGGTCGGGAACGCGCTGCTGGGGGTGTTCGCCAGCTTCGCACGCGTCAAGGGGTACGAGCAGGACACAGCTGACGATCCGTTTGATGGCATGCACAATGCCCTGGTCACCCACCTGGACCACTCTGCGAGGATGTTTGTTGAGACGGGCTGGAAGGACCACATCGAGAAGTACATCAACGCGGATGCCCACGAGGAAGCGTTCCACCAGATCAAGCTGTTCGTGGCGGAGAACAGGAACGTTCACGTACCTGTGCCAGATGACGGTTCTCTCATCATGCGGGCCGCTTGCCACGTGATCCAGAACATCGGCCTCTTGACGGCTGACCTGAAGCTCGAGCAGGTGGGCTCTTGCGAAGCGATGGTCGCGGACGCGATCGGCAAGCGCGTCGTCGCCACTGAGATGATGTTCACCGTCGAGCCCACGGACGCCACCAGGCTGGAGCTGGCGGCGCTCCAGGCAAGGCTGGCGGACGTCTGCGCGGTCATCGGGATTGCGAAGCACGCCAGGGAGTTCTACGAGACGACCGCCGCCAGCACGCTCGAGCTTTGCAAGGCTTGGGAGAAGCTCGACTCGGCGCTCGGGGCACTACCAGCCACGGAGTCCAAACAGTACGACGAGGTCTTGCAGACGAAGTTGCAGGCCATCAGCTTCGAGGAGTTCAAGTCGACGACCTCGAACTGGAAATAGATCGGCCTGCACCTGGCCACCGAGTACTCACAGAGCACGTTCGAGAGCTTGGCCGAGAAAGGCCAGCTGACGGCCCAGGGCCTCGAGAATATCGCGGGTGGCATGCAAAATGGCTCCAGCTGCCTGAGCGGCTACAGCGGCAGCCTCGAGAACTTCGACGAGCTGATGGCTTGGATGAAGGCCACGTTGTTCAAGCAGCTGGGCCTGGCGACGAGGCTGAAGCAGTCGCACACGGAGCTCCTCCACCAGCTGGCTGAGTTCGAGGCGGAGACGGCCAGCCTCAAGATCTCATCGGAGAAGTGGGCGCCCGTCCGCGACGAATGGAAGTCGCTGCTGAAGGCAGCGGACATCACGCTCACGGTGGCGTCGTTGGCCCAGCTGCTGAAGGATAAGACGAAGAGTGACGGCGCCGCCAGGAACGGGCTGCAGCGTGCGATCGACAGCATGCAGGGCCGCGCGGTGGCGATCACCGACATCCCGCAGGCGCTGTGGGAGGCGGCCCAGCAGCGCCCGTCGCAGTAGGCGCGACGGCGCCCGCGGGCGGCCGCTTGAGGAGGAGGAAGAGGAGGAGCAAGAAGAGGAGAGGGAAAAGGGGGGAAGGAGGACAAGGAGGAGGAGGAAGAGGAGAAGGCACGGCATCGCGAGGACGAGCGAAGACGGCGGCGGCTCTGCGGCCGGAAAACCTTTTTTGTTTGTCTGCCTCCCTTTGCTCTGCTCGCTCTCCTTGCTTCCCGCTGCTTCTCCTGCCCGTCTCCTTTCCCTCCTTCCTCCCTTTCCTTCCCTCTCTCCCCCTGCCCGCTTCCCCCTTCCCCCCTCCTCCTCCTCTTCCTCCCCCCTCTCCTCCTCCCCCTCCTTCTTGCCTGGCTCAGGCTACTTATCTGGCCCAGCCTCGGGCGCGATAGACGTCGATGCTGGTGTCGGCCCCGCGTCGGGGCCGAAAATCTTTGAAGGCCAGCGCTGCCATGCCTGATTTTAGGCGCCTCGGCTGGGCGCGAAACGGCCCGCGGCCATTCGCGAGGCCCCTTGGGGGGGGGGGGGGGGGGGGCGGGCCGCGGCGCGCGCCCTGGACACCTCAGTAAGGCCATCAGAACCCCATGGCACATTTCCTCCATCAAATGTCATGTCAGACCCCACCAACCAATAGACTGCCACGGGAACTCTCAATAGAAGGTCGACAGTGGCTGTCACATTGTCTTGGTCAGTGCTGTGCGAGCGCTCCTGACCTCTCCCCTTCTCGTCCTCTGGGCCCCCTGCTCCCCGAGGCCCCACGAGAGCCAGCGTTCTCCTCCTCCGGCGTCTGTGGTTCGCTTCCACACAATTCCATTATTGATGGCAATGTCTCGTTTGTGCACATATCGATCGCGATAGCAAGGTTCTCTTGAAAGCCTGTGTCTTGTTCGAAGCTGCATCCATGGATCGCAGCGTCTCGTTTGGGGATGCATCCATTGATAGCAATGTCCCGCCTGGAGATATAGCTATCGAACGCAGTGGGCCGTCCGAAGCTAAGCCCATTGATGGCGCTGTCCCCTGCGGAGATGAATCCATTGATAGCAGTGTCTCTTTTGGGGCTACATCCATTGGTAGCAGCGTCTCGTTTGAATGTACAACTCTCGAAAGCACAACTCTTGTGTAGCTATATAGCTCTTGAATATACAACTCTTGAATATACAACTCTTGTGTAACTCCTCTGGGCCGCAGTAGCAGTATATCTAATACTCGCGGTAGCAGTGCCACTTTCCAGCGACAGATGGTGCGACATCCACAATCTGCAAAGCCTTGCCATTCTGGCTCCAAAGGCCCCCTTGTGTTACGCGTCTGCCATCGCACGCGCCACCGTGCCCTGCGCGGTCTTGCTCGCCCAGTGTCACCTTGCCCTGCACGGTGCTACTCAGCCTGTGCCACCGCGCCCTGCACGGTGCTACTCAGCCTGTGTCGCGGCTACTACCCCAGAGCAGCCAATGCCCACTTGGTAGTTTCACGAAGAGCAGCGCTAAAGCCCAAGACTTCCTAGTGCGGGTATACATGCTCAGGAAGATCACATACTCTTACAAGAGCAAGCGCAATGGCCAGATGGTCGAGGCAACGCGATTCACGTGCATTCTGCTTGGCACGAATTCGGAGCAATATTGCGAGGCGACCCTCAAAGGAACTGTAGCAGACGTGGACAACGCCCTCAAGAAATTTCCCCCGCTCACTGCGTGGAAACTCTCCTCGGTCGACCTGGACAACCAGCAGCAGGACGCTTTTGTGCACGCGCCTGTTCGTGTGGTCGTCGACCTCAAGCGCGCAAAGTGCACTCCTGTCCTGCAGAGCTCTCAGGAGGAGACCTCCTTGGCAGCGGCGCCGGCTCCACAGACTACTTTGTCAGACATGGTAAACGTCAAGTTGCGTTGCTGCTTCGACGTCGTGGCAGTGGTTCATTCAGTTTCAGACACGCGCCCTCCCGTGGGCCGCCCTCCAGTAGCAAATGTGCACCTCGTGGGTGGCACCCTGACGGCCGCGTCCAAGACGGCGGAGGCTGTGGTTGCTGTCTGGGGAGCAGACAATATCAAGAAATGTCAGTCGCACACAGGCCAACCGCTGTAGTTTCTCAACGTGGCGGCCAAGTTCGAGGGAAACCTGCAGCTGAACCTGTCGCAAGATCGCGCGGTATCTGATGAATGCTCGTATCCCAGAATGACCCAGCTCAAGGAACTAGCGGCGCAAGAGCACTTTGCGCAGGACCGGGAACAGCTGACCACCAGCCATGAGGTCATATGGGGCCCAGACCAAGCTTCCCAAGTTCTCACCGGAGACGCGCTCCTGTCTTGCTGTGCCTTTCTGGCGATGGCGTCGGAAGACCCGAGCGCAACCTTGCCACTCTTGTTGCAGGTGAATGGGATGAGGCTTGAGGAGCCGGAGCCCAGCGACTCTGTGGTGGAGAGCAAAGGCCAGCGCATCTTCTTCACCACTATTGCACGCGATTTCAGTGGCTCCTGCAGAGTTGCCGTCTCTCAAGCGGCAGCCTTGGCCTTGAGTGGCATGGGTGCCACGTCCGAGTTCCAGCAGGCCCACGAGGCTCGAGGCTCGAGCTATCTCTTTCCCTCCTTTGGGCACTTGCCGCATAATGCGACGCGTGCGCCATGTGGGTGCGGGGGCGGACGGTCACACGCCTGAGCGGACTTTTGTCAACGCGACTGTGGTTGCAGCATCCCCGCTGCAGATATCGCACGCCCCTGATACATCTTACCATGTCATCTTGGAGATCCTGAAGCAGTGCCACGAGAGCCAGGATGCTATGCTCGCGGCACACCTCTCTGAGATACGCCCCTGCCCTTTTACGGCATGCGCGCGCAGTATGCCCCGGCAAGTGGCAGTGGAGATGCTTCTCAGCTTGCCCGAAACTGCCATCTGGCATTGGCTCTCGTACGCACCGCACAGAAGTCGCGGTGCGTGTCCACTGCGAGTGGCTTCCTCGTGTCTACAGCGAGTGTGAGGGACGCCTTTGGCGATGAGAATTCAGCCACGGTGACGATTCACGGCTATTGCTCCGTAGACAATTTGCTCGCCTTCAAAATGGACCCGCCCAACAGAGCGAAGCACAGAGACTGCTTGTTGCTCATTACAGGCTGTTCAAAGGAGGCTATCACAATGCACAGCGTCACCCACATCGACGAGGCCGCAGTGACAGAGGCGCAGTACTTCATCAAGAAAATGAGAACACTTGGCATGCGCGCAGAGCTCCAGCAGTCTGGTGAGCACAAGCGAATGAATGAGTGGAACATGACACCCGACTCAGCCAAGAAATGCAGAGTCCTCGAAAGCCATCCGTCAGGAGAAAGCTTGTCATAGGGTGCTGATGTCTTGCCAGCGATGCTTCTCAGCTTGCTGCACATCGCGTGCCTCACGCTTTTTGGCTGCTTGCTCGGCGGATTAGGATTCGCCTCGCAGGCTGCCAGCGATGTTTGCTTCAAGTCTCTCGCTTCACAGTTCCCGCTGACTCGCATTCACCTGCGGTGCTTCTCAGCCCTCAGCTGCTGCTGTGGATGCTTGTGGAAGATTACTCGCTTGGGCTTGCAGTGCTTCTCAGCCTGCCATTGCTCTTGTCTGAGTACCTGCCATGTTCCAGTGGGTGCGGGAGTGGGTGCCCAAGGTGCTGCCGCGGCTGCCGGCGGGCTCCTGAGGCAGCTGCCCTCGCCGCCGCATGTGACTCAATTTTGATTGCGGTGCTTCTCAGCCCGCAGATGCTTTTCCAGACGCATCCGTGCTGCGGCGGTCGGCGCTGTCTCGTTAGCAGACAAATCCATTATTGATAGCAGTGTCCCGTTCCAGCCTACACCCCTTGATCGCAGTGTCTCCTTTGGGCATGAGCAGTGTCTCGTTGGTAGCAATGTCTCGTTCCAGTCTACATCCATTGATAGCAGTGTCTCGTTCCAGCCTACATCCATTGATGGCAGTGTCTCGTTGGTACTACTACTGATTCTAGTACTTCTCCTGCTACTTCTACTGCTACCATTGCTACTGCTCGTCCTACTAATACACCTAATACTACTAGCACCACTAGTCCAACTACTACTAGTAGTACCGCAGATATGCTTCTAAACATCGCTGTTAGGTTGCTTTGCCGGGATCATTGTCATGCAAGCTTCCGATTGCATGCAGCCGAACCCCCAGAATGCTACCGCGGTGCTTGTGTGTCCAGCCGCGGGGAACAGGGGCGGGCGCGCCCGGCGCCAATCTGACCCAAGCGAAGCAACGCTCGCGTTGGCTGATCGTCGCCGGCGCGTACCTTTGGACGGGAAAAGGCTTCGGCGACCGCTGCGAGCACCTGCTGAAGCACGTTATGGGCGAGCTCCACAAAACGGGGGCGCCGCGGGCGCTAGGGGGCGTTTTCCAGCAGGGCCCCGCAGCTGTGCAGCGCTCCCCCGGCGCGCGGGCCTCAGGAGGGACCGCTGCCTGCCCCGCGACGGCGCCGGGCATGCGCTGGAGAGGCGCTCTGGGCAGCACCATCAATTATTTCGCGGTGGGCGCCGCGCTTGAAAAGTCCCTCAGCGCGCGGGTCGACGAGGAGCGGCCGCCCCCCCCGCGCGAGCCCACAGGCTGGGCACGGCCCCGGCGCAGCTGGCGGGGCGGGCCCCACAGCGCCCCAAGCCGCCGCCGCCGCGCATCACGGGGCGCACGCCAGAGCCTCCGACCTATTTGCAGCGCCCCCGGTTCGTCTCCAGCGA